TCTTAGTGACTCAAGACAACAAAAGTTATTTCCATTTCTATTCATCTTAGAGCCCAGCAAGGCTAATCCTAGTTGGAATCTTCTAGGTGGTCATGTAAGACCAAGGCTCCTTCATGTGCCTTCACCCCTCTTGGTATTAAGAGTCCTCTCTATTCAGCTGGTGGATGAGGAAAGAGACCAAGCACTGATTGCTCAGGGAAGTTTCAAGGGCTTAGCTTGGAAGTGGTCCCCCTCAATTCTAGTGCATTTCATTGACCAGAGCACCAGCCTGGGGTCCAGGAACAGAGCAGTTGCTTAGGCCCATGAGGCCGTTGGTCTCTGGACTCTCTCTGTTCCCCTCTAGCTTTGCTTGAAACCCGTTCAGTTCTTTCCTGGGTTCATCTCTTCCTTGTAGAGAACTTGCTAAGCCAATGCATAACTTCACTCTGGTTCTTTCTAGCCACTTCCCCCAGAGCCACAGGCTTGGAAGGTACCTGGTCCACCTTCTAAATGACCTTAGGTTTAAGTGTTAACCAAATCTTTTGCTAATGTATAGCACAGATCTCCATGTTTCCAGCCTCTGAGATCAGTTTCCTCACTGGCTGCTGCCTGCTCACTAAGCCTGTCCTGCATATTTCAGGGAGTTGCTGTGTGTACCGCACTGCAAGACACCTGCTTCTGTATAAGCTCAGTATTAGCTCTGTATTAGTGCACAGAGGCTTGAACAGGTAACCCAAATTCTGCCAGGTTGACAGAGCTCAATGTTATTCCTTGCTTACATCATATTCTAATGCATCTGTCCCTGGGGGTGTGTGTGGCCTTCCGTCTGGTCATTCAGAGACATGGCTTCTTCCATCTTGAAGTTCTGCCCTCTCGCAGGTCCCTAGAGTCCTGCCTGCAGCTGGCCTGAGGGCAGGAGATCAAGTGCCTCCCAGGAGATGCGCCTGGAAGCAATGCACATAATTTGTGTCCATATTTTCCCAGCCAGAGCTCAGTTGCATGGTCACACATACTGCAAGACGGACTAGGAGATGCAGTCCAAAGTGGTAAGACTAGGAGTGAAGGAGAGCACATTTGCTATATACCTAGGAGTATCTGCCTCACGGGCCAGCGCTGTCTAGACTGAGGGAATAAAGACCATGGTTCTTTGAGGAGGATGACTCAGACAGACAGCCTTTGTACTTTGGTGGGGAGGAGTGTTGGGGGGATGGAGCTCTCTGGCATCAGCTAGCATGATCCAAAAGACGTACAGATACTGTCGTTAATGCAACAAGTGTTTACTCCATGTCTATTTATGCCTGGCAGTGGGCCAGACAATAAGGCCTAGGAGGACAACGGTCCTCGTCAAGCTATGGATGACTTCCTTTACTAATAACCCTGTTGCTGGGCACCTAGGGGCCAGAAAGCCTGGAGAGAGAGGGAGAAATGGGGAGGGCTTGTTAATGCCATATAGTGCATCCACAGCATCCAGCACTCACAAGCACTGTCTCTGCAATGCGTTGGCCAATATGTAATTAGAGCTCCAGGGCAGCAGATAGCAGGCCTTCTCTCAGGGCTCCAGGGTGGTGGACAGCAGGCCTTCTCTCAGGGTTCCAGGGCAGCGAACAGCACGCCTTCTCTCAGGATTCCCTGGCTCACTTCTTGGGATGCTGTTTTCTCTCTGCAAGGCATCTAAGGGAGATGATGGATCCAGGATGTGGGGTTGTCATTTTTTGTGTGTTTTTTTCTGGCTGTTGGCAAAGTTAGGGAGGTGGCACTGTATTTTAGAACCCCTTTATTGGTGCTGATGGTGGTGCAAGGGAGTCCTAGACCCCCACATCCTCTCTCTTCGGGTTGTCAGCCATTTGTGTTTAGAAGCTGCTGGGCTTCTTAGTGGGCTGAGATCTGGATAGACCAGCATTCAGGTAATAGCCGCTGGGCGTCAGCTCTGTACCTGATCTCTGCCCAAACACATGGGCAGCCATCTTACCAGAGCCCTCAGTAACTGATGTAGGGGTGATATCTCTTCCAGGAGGCTTTTCAAAATGAGCTAAGAAAATGGGCATAGCGGACATATTTAACACAGACTAGAAGAGACCAGGGAGGGAAGTTTTATATTCTCTTTCAGTGATTTATGGATAAAAAATCATGTCATAAGAAGCAGGAAAGTAGCCTGGGTTATATCCAGGCCACCCTTCGGATGGCGTGCATGGATTTGTTGCCCATTTTCAGCTCAGGGAGAGAGGACTACAAAAGGTTAAATTCCTCATATAAGATTAATTCAGCCATCTCTGTGAAATGGTGGAAGCAGAATACCATTAGACTCTCTAATCTCGTTTCTCTCATGCTGTCTTTCTTGGAGCCTGTCAAACAGTGTCCTGGCAGAGAGTCAGTTCTGTGGTTGCTAAACATCAGAGTCAGTCTCCTGAATGTGCCAGGAGGGCTGTAATTTAGAAAATGTAGCCTACCCTTTTAAGGAAGGATGAAAAGGTACTAAATGCACCTTTCTTTGCATGTTATATCCCAAATATTTTGAATATATTAAACATGTAATTCCTATGTAATTCTATTTTCTATGTTTTATTAGGGTTATTTGCATGACATATTAGAGCCAAAGTTACTAAAACTGTTTGTATTCTGTGGGTCTCTGGTGGTTTCACGAGTACTGCTTGGGGTCCTAAATATACTAACTAGCCTTGTGAGCATGTTACTATGCATTCAGGATGCAAATGCAGTAATGATTTTGCCCTTGTTTTAATTGCTCTTCAACAGCGCATGTGATTTTTTTGATCTTGATTGAAGCCTTTTGGGGGTGGGGAAGGTGGGAAGTATTAGCTGCTGCTATAGAAAAAACTAAATATACTTGGACATTAGATTTTTAGATTTTCTGTTAGTCCTGGTCTTTTTTTCCTATTGCCACATAAAAATCTTAAAATAAGAAGGGGTTTGCGGGGGTGGAGGATCTACCAGGATTGTGAAGTTTCTTTTTCCTTTCTAAAATCCAGCATTATTTTTTTGTTGCATATTTGGGACAAAGAGTCTTAAACGAAAGATCTTTGCAAGATCTGGTTCAGCAGCTCTGCCCCTTGCCTCAAGTTTACTGCAGGGCTTCTATCCCCTTTGGTTATAAAGAAATGAAATTATAAACCACAAGTAGCCTTGGAAATTTCAATCGATCCAAATGACTAAATATTTGTAATTCAATCACTGCCTAGACTTCCAGGGATGACTCTGGCGTTTTGCTTTTTGCTGAGGGCTCTGTGAAAGCCGGGCTCTGCAATGGCTGCTGGGGACCGAGTCTATTGCAAGGAGGCTCCCCTGCAGTGAGGAGCCCGGGCACTGCAAGCCTGTGCCAGAACAGCCCTTTTTGCAAATGGTAGTCGATTTTTGCAGAAGGTTTGTGGCCAGATCGCTATGTATAATACTGATGAAGCATTTTTGTTCCAGCTCTGTCTCGGAAGACCTAGGCTGTAGACGTGGGGATTTCAGTAGGAAACATTATGGATCTGTGGAGCTGGTAAGTTTATGCTGTCTGTTCAGTGGTAGTACATTGATTTAGATTTAGAGACGATCATCAGGCTCATCGGATCTTATGTTGAATATTTACTGTTAGACCATGTGGGTTATAGCATGAGGACTGGAATGAAAGAAATACCTATTGAAAGGTTATGATAATTTGATCATCTTTAGCTATTTGTTTTTATTGTTACGTACTTTTAATCTTGTGTCTTCCAGTTTGTTAAAAATATGTGTGACTGGGTATTTTTCTCTGTTAGTGGTGTATGTAATTAAACAAAATAATTTATGAACTCAGAAAGGTAGCATTTGGTTTTTATATGATCTTTTTCCTAAAAGTTTATAACTCTAGTTTTCGAGGTTTAAATATTACTGAAATATATATTCTTATTTTCTATGCCTTTGCTTTCTGGGTATGTGATAGGAGTTAGAATATTTATGAGATTTTTTTTCCTGTTAAAAGCATATTGATTGGACTAGATAATAACTATAATAGATGATAGATATCTGGAATTGAAAATATCCACATTTTCCTTAATGAGAAACATTGAGATTTGTGGCAGAATTTTTAAAAATAGTATGTTTTCATTTTAAAAGCGACATAATGAAAGCATATAATAGCCTGAATTTTTTTGAAGATAGAATGTGGGGGGGTTCTAGTTGCATGGAAATTTGAACAAATTTTCAGGAAAATGTGCTCATAAAATTCTATTGATTATTATTTAACGCTATTAATAGCATTAAGTCTACAATTTCTATATATTTATAAAAAAAAGAATTACTTGTATTTATTTGTTTAGTACCCAGTTTCCCTTATTAATGTAAGCTACATTCTTAAAGAGTTTAAGTAGTAGAAAAATTTATACCAGAGTTGTGTACCAGTGGCAATCTACTTGAATTCAAGCATATATTACATATTTGGCTAGTTACCTGGCCTAGAGCTGGGTATATAAGTGAAAGATTTAGTCCTTATTCTTAAAAAGCTTACTGTCCTGCTGTGCAGATAAGATATGTAAAAGCATCTAAAGAACGAATTTAGTTAGACAAGAGACAGATTAATTAACTCAATTAAGACCTATATTGTCAGTCACTGGTGTCACCAGCCACTCAGACCTCTGCTTCTCCTGAAAGAGCAGGTGCATAGTTATAATTCAGAGTGGGAACTGGTAAACATTGTGTGAGAGAGACAAGTAGAACAAGTGAAGATTTAGAGAAGGGAAGGAGCAACCCATTCTGGCCAGAGAGCTCAAGGAACTGGCATGGGGATGTGGTGGCAAAGAGGGTAGACAGGAGGTTTGGGCCAACAGCACGGATCCTGGCAACAATGTATTCCAAAGCAGTGAGCAAATGGTTCTGGCTAGCAGAGCTCAGTGGTTACAAAGCAAGCAGGCTTTGGGCTCAGGCAGTCCTGGTTCGGGTTCCAGCTCCACTCCTCTCTGTGACCAGTCAAGTTACTTAACTTCTCTGAACCTCAGTGGGGCTTTAAGAATTTGTGCTCTGAAGTCATTCTTTTTTCATCGTTGACTAGTTATATGATATTGGATTTCTTTTGGCCTTAGTTTTCTCATCTATAAAATGGGGATATTAACATCGTTTACCTCATAGCATTGTTATGAGGACAAAATGATATACATAAAGGAGTTAACACACAAGCACAGTTTATGTAAACTAGCTATAGTAGTAAAAGAAAAATTACATAGTAAAAGTAGAATCTTAACTGTCAGGTAAAGACTTTGAACTTGGCCTAGTAGATGACACAGAGCTCTTATAAACAGCGAGTGGCATTTACTGGAGAGAACATGAATGTGAAGGATAGACTCTGGGAATCACAGAATAACTGCATGGAAAGGTACTTGAAAGCAGTGGTTCTCAAACCTAAGAAGGCATCAGAATACTCTGGAGGGCTGATTAAAACACAGATTGCTAGGCTTCAGCCCCCATGTTTCAAATTCAGTGGGTCTCAGGTTAACCTGCAATTTGTGTTTCTAGAAAGTTCTCAGATTGATGTCAGTGTTGCTAGTCTCAGGACTGCACTTGAAGAACCCCTGCCTTGAGCATCCCAGCAGTTACCCTGGCCTGACACAGCGGCTCACTTGTTCAAGCTTTTCCTCTGGAGCCATGATGGTATATGTATGCTTTTGCTATCCGATGATCTCTTGAAACACTGACTCCAGTGATTTGAAAGGAAGGTGATGCTTCTTACCTCTGAACAGACTTATAAATTACAAACCAGTTAAATAATATTCATGAAAATATTTCATGAGAAAGTGAGTTGAACTTTTCTTAAACCTGATATGGTGAAAATTGTTAAGAACTCAGTAATTGTTGGGCATCCTGGAACTCAAACTTTGCAGAAGAAAACCCAGAATTATATGAAATTGAAATTTCAGCATAAACTTCTCTGGACTTCAAATGAATTAGCTATAAGTCCTGTGAAGAGCTAAGCATGGCCATTTATATCAGTATGAGAGCAGATTTAGGGGCTTAGTTCTTTTTTATTTTATTTTTTATTTCTTATAGCATAACTGTGTACATTAATGCAATCATGGGGTACAGTGTGCTATTTTCATACACATTTTGAAACACTCTCATCAAACTGGTTAACATAACCTTCATGTCATTTTCTTAGCTATTGAGTTAAAACGTTCATACTCTGCTTTTAGAAAGATTCACTTGTACCCTTGTAAGATAAACCATAGAGGTGACCCCACCAATCTCCCTCCCTCTCCCCAGGGGCTTTGTTCTGAAGATTTTCATCTGGTACATGTATAAATTTGGGGAGTGAGAACATGGACGCCCAGGTCTATTTTGACCTGTGGGACAGTTTCTGAGCCATCCTTCATCATATAAGCTGAGTGTGGTGGCGCATGCCTCTAGTCCCAGCTATTGGGAGTCTGAGGCAGAAGGCAGGAGGATCACTTGTGTGTAGGAGCTGTGAGCTATGATGGATGCCACTGCACTCTAGCCAGGGCAACGGAGCAAGACCCTATCTCAAGAAAAAAAGTCTTAATTCTTAAAAGCTCAAATTAAAAGCACCTAGGAAAAATTTCTTCCTCTGCTGATGGACTCTCATCTCTGGCACTTTTTTTAATCCTATAAATAAAGATATAGATTATGAGCATCCTAAAAATACGAATAATGGATGTTTATTTGCCATTGTATCCCTACTACCAAGCATAAGGTTTAGCAAGCATTAGTTACTTAGTAACTATTGATCTAAGGAATGATCTAATTTGGTTGAAATTAGAGAGCAGCCTGACCTATCAAAAATAAATAAAGGAAAGAGAAAGCAAGCCTTTTTGATCCCCCCACCCCATATTGCTAGACTCATTACCTCGCCTGCATTTCAGCTAAAGGTTGTGCCATTTTTCTTCCTGATGAATCGCAGGTCTGGTCTCTCAGGGCAGCATTCTAGGCAAGGCACGGCCATTACATCATCAGCTATTCCTCAGCACTTTATATTGAAATCTGTCAGGAGAAGCATGAGATTGTTTGTAGCTTTTATTGATCTTTTCTTGGCCTTTGACTTGATGGATAGGAAACTGCTGTGGTATAAATGATAAATAGTGCGGGCACCAAATAGACCTCTCCCCTCACCAGCCCAGCTGCTGCCCTTCAGGCAACCCACGTCTTGATACTTCTGGGGAAGTCACAAGCTGCAGGTAATTTCAAATCAGAATAAAACAAGGCAGTATATTGTCCATTCCTTTTAAAAAAATTGCATCTTAATGACTCGAAACTGTATTTAGTTGAGCTGCATACACATACTCCCTTTCTGTATGAGAAGGAAGTGTATCAGGGTCTCCCTGTGCAGAAAGCAGCATTTGGTTGTCCTGACCTCAGGGTGGCCTCAAAGGCTGGGCTATCTAATAACTATCAAGAGTATGGTTGACAGTGAACTTGCTTGGCATCTGCAGATTTTAACCGTTTAGAGACTCTTGATATATAGTAATTTGTGTTTTGCCCAGGCATGAATTTGAATCATGCCTGTGGGACCACTGTGCAGAAGAATGGTGCTTTGCTAACAAGTGATTTAGCTGCCTGTCCAGCATCCCAAACACAGGGCAGATTTGTCCTCTATTCAGGCTTCTTATTGTCAGAGTCATTTGATGGAAGAAATTATATTCTATGTAGTATTACCAACTTGGGGAATTAGTGAAAGTACCAACATATTTCCTTTAGAAATAGGATCCAAACGTCAAGACTTCAGCATTCGGCTTGGCTCCCATAGCTCAGTGGTTAAGGCATCGGCCACATACACCAGGGCTGGCAGGTTCGAACCTAGCCCAGGCCTGCTAAACAATAGTGACAACCACAGCAGAAAAATAGCCAGATGCTGTGGCAGGCGCCTGTAGTCCCAGCTACTTGGGAGACTGAGGCAAGAGAATCACTTAAGCCCAAGAGTTTGAGGTTGCTGTGAGTTGTGACATCGCAGCACTCTACCAAGGATGACATAGTGAGACTCTGTCTCAAAAAGGAAAAAAAAAAAAAAAAACTTCAGCATTCTACAGCAAAAATCATAATTTGACAGATGTTCTTTAATACTTAACTGGCTTGGCTCAGTGCCTGTGGCTCAAGTGGCTAAGGCGCCAGCCACATACACCTAAGGTGGCGGGTTTGAATCCAGCCCTGGGCCACCAAACAACAATGACAGCTGCAACCAAAAAATAGCCAGGCATTGTGGCGGGCACCTGTGGTCCCAGCTACTTGGGAGGCGGAGGCAGGAGACTCGCTTGAGCCCAGGAGTTGGAGGTTGCTGTGAGCTGTAATGCCACGGCACTCTACTCAGGGGGACAGCTTGAGGCTCTGTCTCAAAAAAAAAAATACTTAACTGGCTTATACCTACATCTTATATAGCATAAGATCTTTTAGATGCCTTGAGACGCAACATTTATCTTCGAGCATTCACTGGCGAGTTAACGTGGTTTAAAACTATGGGTGGTACTGTTGTGACATTTTTACTGCCTTGGTGGGGGATTGGTAATGGTGACTTTGAAACTT